GAGGTTACGTTAGGTAACCGATTCGTTTTATGTTCTTCAATGCAAAGTTTTCTGTTTTGCTTGTTCTTCAGGTGGGAGCATAGAAACCACAACACAATGAAGCTGGCTTACATCTTCAAACAGGCGTCTCTTCATAGGCATTGGTCTTCTCATCACAGGCGTTGGGGCATCCGAAATCCCGTGAGAGGCTTGATACAAAACTGGAGCTGACGAACGGCATTTTTCTCGGGACAAGCATCCCAAGATAACAGCAGAAAGGCAGATGGGAAATAATTAGCATAGCTGATGTTCATAATGATTTCCATTACTAGCGTGGGTATTTCTGTTTATCATCTTATAAACATAATTAAACATGTATAATCTAAAAACGTGTACAGTTAAGATACTGTGAAGGGGCAGTTACACTAATTTACTGGCAAAAATGCTGCCAGAAGTTCCAGAAAAAAAATGAAAAATAAAAAAAAAATAAAAATCATAACAGTGTAGGCCAACCCAGAAGTTAGCATCACCCTAGTTCCCTCGACAAAAGCCCAATAGGGTTTTTTTTTTTTTTTTTTTGCAGAAAATTCTGATTGGTTATTGTATTATCAGGTGATTATGTTTTCTGGATCATGACTTGTGTTGTGGCAGATTTCCAGTCTCAATTCAAATCATCAAAGTCTGGTTCAGCTCTTAGTGAAAATCTTTCAGAGTCGAGGTTTCAGGTCTCAGAAGAATAACTTTATTGAGCAGTTCAACAAAGTGAGATGTCGGCCAGGCATCTGATCTTACAATGGTCTGCAGTCATTTCTTATACCTTGTGGTAGCCAATTAGCGATCAAATTGTTATCTTTCTTTCTTTGCTCCTCCTTATTACTCCTCCCAAATTAAAACACCTGCATCATCATTTTATTGAGACAGCCTTCTATGCGCATGCGTATCATTTCTTTAAAAAAAATGGACATCTGTATTAGTGTCTTTTTACACAATGGGCTCCTTGTTTCAGTACGCTTTTCCCAGTGGCACATTGTTACATTGTATGTGTAATAAAGTTCAGTTAGGGGTGAAGAAGGAGACAGGATCGGCGAAACTGGAACTCGTACTGCTTTATTACTCAGACTCGTACAAAACAAAAAGGCGCGCACACAGCGCATTCACCGTAGCGCAGCTACAGCACAACTCATTCACAAGAAAACTCTTTCCACGTTGATCACCATCCGGTTCCAGATCAACCTCACAGCACGGGCACGAGTTCCAGTCAGTTTCTCTCTCTCTCCCCTCTCTCCCAGTCTGCGGCTTTTACGGTCTCCCCGCTCCAATCACTGCAAATAGACACAGCTGTTCATCATTTGCACTTGACCCACTTACTCTCCGCGCAGCTCATTGACTCGTCTCTCACTACAGACGCCGCGAAAACCACGCCCCCCTACCACAGTATACAATTTGTTTCTCTCCCAGTGTCTTCCAATACCTGCATCTGTGCTACAAGTGTTTTTTGGGTACTTTTCCACTCTCTTGTCCCTGTCCTCATGTGCCCTAAGACCCTAGTTCCCTTTCGTAGTCACTTCGAGTTACGTCAGAAGTGACGGAGAATGGGGGTTTCGCATAGAAAGCCAATCCTCTTCGAGTATTTAACAACGAGCCAATGGCATGAAATGCCTTGGGGCTGTGGAATTTGCATAGCGTAACTCCGCCCCACCCTGTGGGTCTAAAAGGAGGAACGCAACCGCAGTATGTTTTCGCTTCGGAGCCAAGAGATTTCTTCACTCCTCAAGCCATTCTCACTGATTTAAGACTCTTCGAGACGAGCGTCCTCTTAAGTGTTGGTGTGACGGTGGTACCCAGCGAGACTCTGACTCTGAAAAAAAATAAATAAATAAATAAATAAAAAAAACCCCGACGCTAGTTCCTCGGGCCACACCCACCGCTCCAGTGTTAGAGCCAGTGAGCGCTGTATCGTTTCAGACGTCTGCCTCTTTGCAGGTACCGTCTGTTTCGTTCAGCGCTCCAGAGGATGATGCGATGACGATGCGGCTGCGTTGCCTCAGTTCTCAGTTCGACTCAGTTCGCGAGGTCTCCTCCCCGCTTTAGGGGAGTTCGCTCCACGGTGGTTGGTGGCAATGCCCCGGTCATGAGAGCGGAGATTGCGACCCTGCTGGCGAAGGGTGCAATCGAGACGGTCCCTCCAGCCGAGGTGAGGTGCGGGTTTACAGCCCATACTTCACTGTCCCCAGAAGACCGGTGGGTTACGACCGATCCTGGATCTGCGCATTTTGAACCGTACTCTCCATCGACTACCGTTCAAAATGCTCACAGCCAAACGCATTTTCGAATGCGTTCGGCCTCAGGATTGGTTTGCAGCGATCGACCTGAAGGACGCGTACTTTCATGTCTCCATATTGCCTCGACACAGACCGTTCTCGGTTTGCCTCGAGGCCAGGCATCAGTACACGGTTTTCCCTTTCGGCTTAGCTCTGTCACCTCGCGTCTTCACGAAGATCGTCGAGGCAGCCCTTGTTCCCCTTCGCGAACACGGGGTTCGCATCCTGATTTATCTCGACGATTGGCTATACTGGCACACTCTCGAGAACAGCTTTGCGAACACAGAGACCTGGTGCTCCGGCACCTAGCCCGTCTGGGCCTTCGGGTCAATCGGGAAAAGAGCAAACTTTGCCCCGTGCAGAGGATCTCTTTTCTCGGCATGGAGATAGACTCGGTCGCCATGTCCGTGCAGCTCACGAGCGAGCGCGCGCACTCACTGCTGACTTGTCTTCGACAGTTCGAGGGCAAGAGTGCCGTTCCACTGAAACAGTTTCAGAGGCTCCTGGGGCATATGGCATCCGCAGCCGCGGCAACGCCACTCGGTTTGCTTCATATAAGACCGCTTCAGCTGTGGCTTCGCGATCGAGTCCCGAGGTGGGCATGGCATCACGGCTCGCTTCGAGTTCCAGTGACTCCAGCGCAGAGGTGTGGACTCGAGTCATGTGACTTGGACTCGAGTCAGACTCGAGTCATGAATTTGATGACTTCAGACTCGACTTGACAAAATGTACAAAGACTTGCAACTCGACTTGGACTTTAACATCAATGACTCGTGACTTCACTTGGACTTGCGCCTTTTGACTCGAGAAGACTTGCTACTTCCCATGAAAACTGGGGAAAAAAATTTTTCACACGGCCGCGCCCGCGTTTATCTGCATCTGTAAAAAAAAAAATGCGCGCCGTCACCTGTATGCATGCAGAGAGAACGCGGCAACGCGCGCTGCCTGCACGACATCCAATCACTGTAGTCCCATGTTTTTTTGATTCGACAGCAAGACAACCTATGAAGCGCAACAAGCACCAACGCGCCAGTTGGCAAAATGATACCGAAGGTAGTTTCTTTTGGCTATAAAAATTACGAGCTAGTCGACAAAAAACGAGTTGCAATTTGCAAAACATGCGGGTCGAAGATTACAGACGGAGCTGCCACAACGTCCAACTTTGTTCGACACCTGAAGTTGCACAAAGAAAGGTAAGTTTTGAATGAATGATAAGCACCTTATAGGATGTACCGTTCTAGCTAGCTGCTGCATATACTCTAGCCTATCAACGAGACAGTAAACGCACGTCTCTCTTGCTGGTTCATGCTTACAAAAATAGGTATTTTTGAACCCGGATTATATGAGGTAGATGAGTGTAGCACACTCAGATGGAAAACCTTGCCAACATCATGTCAACGTCCGTTTTAAAGGACAATTTCTACCTTGCTGCTAGACGGATAAACACAAATGTATATCTCAGTCTCTCCAATACACAGGGGCGTAGAATTTAGTAGGGACGCTAGGGACGTGTCCCTACCAATATCCAGTGACACTGATATATCCCTAGCAATAATTTCGATCAAAACTCAAAATTTATTTATAAATTGATTAGGGCTGGGCAAAAAAATATATTTTTCGATTTCGATTAATCGTTTTTTAAAATGTGGTCGATTCAAAATTGATTCTCAACGGCCACGAATCTATTTTTTTCCATATTGAGGACTCGCGGCGGTGCTGCGTCTTCTCTCTCTGCACTTGGCAAGCGCTACTGCAGGTACACACTTGAAATCGGGCCAGCATCGCACCGGTAACTATCGTTTATCATTGGATTACCAGTTTAAACATTCAAGCAATGTTAAACCATCCCCAGCTCGCGCACTCTCAGAGATGTCTTTCACTGCGCGCACATATAAAGCCTAAATCCGCCTCACAAACAGCTCGCCAGAAACAAAAGTGTTATCCCTGGATTATATCGCTTTAACAGTTAAAAGCAAAATTATGTCAAAACTGTCTTGGTGAGTAACCTCGTAAAGACAGTCGGTTATGTCTTAAATTAGCATTAAACGCGTGTGACAAAGTTATAATAAAACACAGTAATGGATTCGCGAGCTAGTTCTTAAAGTGAACGCAGCCATAAGTGTCTGCCATTAATTCTGTTGTCATAACAACATAATATAGCATTAATTGTAAGCAATCAGAATGAATAGCCTATGTATTTAATTCAGTCTGGACTAAAAAGACTATCAGTGTTATTTTACATTGGATTACTTTATACTTAATACTTTAAACTACCCTAAAATGTTTCTTTATTTGTGTCTTTATTTTTTTTGTATTTATTTGTGCTACTTTTTCAATTTAATTCAAAGCTTGAAATCAAGCTTCTATGTGCATCTTGCATCAAAATCCTGTCCATTCGTTGTATGCATTTAGGCTAGTGTACCTAAAATAAAGAGTTTTACAGGGTGTGGCTCTTAATTTATTTGTATTAATAACCAGTAGTAATTATCGTATACCGTAGTGTACAATAGACAATGAATATTAACACAACAACATTGATATGAGTAAAGAGTAGTTTTAAATACAACGTGTGGCTATAGGGGATTTTCTGACATCTGTTTCATATTCTTCTCTGTTACAGGTATGAAGAATACCAGATGAACAAAAGCATTGTAGATGAACCACAACAGCTTTTAATCTCACAATTCCTGGACACTCGTGTAGGGCGTTACAGCCTGAGCCACCCACAGCAGAAGGCCATCTCCAATGCGATACTGTCTGACTTGATTATTGATTGTAATTTTCCTCTGTCTATTGTGGAAAATAAGAGCTTTCGTCACTTTCTGGCTGTGCTGGACAGCAAGTATACCCCAGTCTGTCGCCGAACGCTGACCACAAAAACAGAGAGCCTTGCTGAGGAGAGACGTTCGAAGTTAAAAACTCAATTGAGCAACACGGACCATGTTTCAGTCACTGTGGACATTTGGTCTGATCGAAAGATGAGGGGATTCCTTGGTGTCACTGTGCACTGGATGGAGAGAGATGCAGAGAGGGTACAGCTAAAGACTAATCTCTTGGCCTGCAACCGCTTCAAAGGCTCTCACACTGCGGAGCGCATCTGTGACCAATTTGAGGCAATATGTGATGAATACAACATCAAAGCTAAATTGGACTATATCATTAGTGACAATGCTGCTAACATGCGCAAGGCATTTACTGTCTGCTTCCCCAGCGAAAAGGAGGAAGATGATGATGCTGGAGATAATCTTGATGATCCTGAGCTATGGCATGACTTAACCCTAGAAGACCAGCAAACCGTCAATGCTGCTATGGCAAAGAAACAGCGCCTGCAGTGTTTTGCACACACATTGCAGCTGGTTGTGGGAGACGGTTTAAAAGAAACAAAAGTGGCATGTCCTTCTCTCTCCAAGTTATCAAAACTTAGCTCCCTGCTCCACACAAGCACAACGTTTAAAGACATCTTCGATGGTGAATTTGGGGAGCACAGAGGCATCCCTGCTGCAGTGAGCACGAGGTGGAATTCCACACTGCGGCAGGTGAAAGCAGTCCTTCATTGTGATCAGCAAAAGCTCTGCGGAGTTCTTGAGAAGGCCGGGCATAAAGAACTGTCATTCACACCACGAGAGTGGAATCTGCTGAAGGAAATGGTGGACATCTTGAAACCGTTCGGAGAAGCAACTGATTTGACACAGGGGGAGAAAGTCATTACAATCAGTGCAGTTGTTCCATCCGTCTTGTCCCTCAATCACCATCTTGAGAAGCTGAAGCCTCAAGTTCGTTTCCTGAGCGGCCTGGTCAGAGGTCTGCAGGCATCCCTGAAAAAAAGATTTCTTGGGATCTTCATTAATGTGAAAATGGCCCAGTCTCAAGAAGGGATCACTGCCCCCTTTTCAGACACAGTCTATCTGAAAGCAGCTGCCTTGGATCCAGCCTTTTGTCTGCTGTGGATTGAGCCCCATGTGCTGGTCAACCGTGACATCAAGGCAGAGGTGGCACAACGAGTTAAAGGTAAATATTATTGACTTGCAATGCAACTTAAATGCAACGTAAAATAATTTGATCTTAATCTGATCTGGGATCTAATGTGATATTAATCTGACTTTAACAATAATAATAATCTTCAGTCTTGCACAGTATCATCAACATCAGTAATGGTAATACGGGCTCTTTTGTTTCTGCTGTGACACATTTTTTTTTAGAATTGATCCTGCAAGATGCTGCAGAGATGGAGCAACCTGTGCCTGTGCCGGTGCCTGCTGAAGAAGAACTAGAGGACATGGAAGGAGAAGGGCTGTTTGCTGCATACCATAAGAGGCAGAAAAGGGATGTTGAGACCCCACCAGCAGTACAGCTAAGTCACTACATTGACATGGCAGAAGGACAGAATGCCCTTTTGTTCTGGGCACTGAACAGTAAGACTCTTCCTTCACTCTTTCAAGTAGCCATCCGAGTCTTGGCAGTGCCTGCTTCTAGTGCTCCAGTGGAGCGAGTTTTCAGCCATGGTGGCATCATTCTGCGTCCCCATCGTGCACAAATGACTGACAGACTTTTGGCCAATTTGATCTTTTGCAAATGCAATGCAGTATAGGGGCCTCCTTCGACCCACACACTCACTCTCTGCTCAACACCTGTCCACACAGCTCTCTCTCTCTCTCTCTCTCTCTCTCTCTCTCTCTCTCTAAAAATCAGTTGTTGTTAAATTTGAGTCTGTGATTCAAAAAAGAAAAAAAAATTAATTGAACTTTTTATTCAATAACTTTATATGCTTTATGAGATTCTATGCGTTTTTGAGTGGGTATACTTGTATTTAATGTATCTGTTTTGAGAAAAACCGATGTTTTAAGAGTATTGTCTTTCTTCTCTCTCTCTGTTTTTGAGGAGTTAAACTGTTTTGCAATACAGAAGTTTTGCAATATTGTTCTAGTGCAATATGCTTTTTTTTACTGTATTTGATTAATGTCGTATAAATAAATACAAATCTTACAGACATACATGATTTGTATACATTTTCTGTGGTAAGAGGACTTGAAATGACTCGAAACTAAAATGGTAGGACTTTGGACTCGACTTGAGACTTGTTGGCTTTGACTTTTGACTCGACTCGGGACTTGCCTCATCTTTGACTCGACTTGACTCGGGACTCGAGGGCAAAGACTTGAGACTTACTTGTGACTTGCGTAACAATGACTTTGTCCCACCTCTGCTCCAGCGTGCCGCCGAACCTTCTTCCCCTGGTCGAACCTCAGCTTTTTATGGACCAGTGTCCCTCTTCAGCGAGTTTCCAGGCATCTCGTTGTCTCCACGGATGCATCTACCACGGGTTGGGGTGCCATGTGCAATGGGCATGCAGCCGCGGGTTCCTGGACAGGACCCCAGCGCCTCATGCACATCAATTGCCTCGAGCTGCTGGCAGTACGCCTGGCCCTGCACCGCTTTCGAGCACTGCTCAGGGGCCAACACGTACTTGTCCATTCAGACAACAACGCTGCACTAGCGTACATCAACCACCAGGGTGGTCTACACTCACGCCGGTGGTCGCAGCTTGCCCGCCACCTCCTGATATGGAGTCAGAAGCACCTGAGGTCCCTTCGTGCAGTGTACATTCCAAGAGACCGGAACCTGGCGGCCGACGAGCGGTCACGGGTCCGCCTATCTCCGGCGAATGGCGACTCCATCCCCAGACGGCCAGCTGATTTGGGACCAGTTCGGGGAGGCACAGATACTTCTGTTCGCCTCCCGGGACTCATCCCACTGCGCCCAGTTTTATTCCCTGTCCGAGGGCTCACTCGGCACAGATGCACTGGCGCACAGCTGGCTGCGGGGCCCACGCAAGTATGCGTTTCCCCAGTGAGCCTTCTTGCACGGGTGTTGTGCAAGATCAAGGAGGACGAGGAGCAGGTCTTGCTGGTAGCCCCCTATTGGCCCACCAAGTCGTGGTTCTCCGAACTCATGCTCCTCGCGACAGCACCTCCTTGGCCTATTCCTCTGAGACTAGATCTACTCACTCAGAGACGGGGCACTCTGTGGCACCCTCGTCCCGATCTTGGAGGCTACACGTGTGGCTCCGGGACGGGGCAGGTTGAGTTCGCTGCCACCTGCGGTGGCGGCACCCATCAGTTCCGCTAGAGCGTCGTCCTCGAGACACCTGTACACGCTGAAGTGGAACCTCTTCGTCAACTGGTGCTCTTCTCGCGGAGAAGACCCCCGGAGATGTTCGATCGGGGTCGTGCTTTCCTTCCTGCAAGAAGGGTTGGAGTGTAGGCTGTCGCCCTCCACCCTTAGGGTTCATGTCGCGGCCATTGCCACGTCTTGTGATGCAGTGAAAGGTAAGTCTATGGGAAGCATGACCTGGTCATCAGGTTCCTGAGGGGAGTAGGAGGCTAAATCCGCCTCCCTCCCCTCGTGCCCTCTGGGGACCTCTCAGTAGATCTAAATGCTCTGCAGAGGCCTCCCCTGGAGCCTTTGCAGTTGGTAGAGTTTTAGCCCTGTCCTATGTAGACAGCACTCCTGATTGCATTGGCCTCCATCAGGAGAGTAAGGGACCTGCACGCACTCTCCGTTGACGAAGCGTGCCTGGAGTTCGGGCCGGCTTACTCTCACGTGTTCTTGAGACCCCGGCCTGGATATATGCCCAAGGTTCCTACCACTCCCTTCCGGGACCAGGTGGTGAACCTGCAAGCGCTGCCCCTGGAGGAGGCAGTCCCAGCCTTGCACTGCTCTGTCCAGTACGTGCACTCCGCACCTACGTCGACAGAACGCGGTGTTCAGGACCTCAGACCAGCTCTTGTCTGTCATGGGGGGAGCCAGAAGGGAAGGGCTCTCTCAAAGCAACGGCTGTCTCACTGGTTAGTGGACGCCATTGCTTTGTCTTACCAGTAGCAAGGCCGTCCGTGCCCCCTTGGTGTGATGGCTCATTCCACTCGGAGTGTGGCCTCCTCTTGGGCTTTAGCGCAGGGCACCTCGCTAACAGACATTGCAGAGCTGCAGGCTGGGCGACACCAAACACCTTCGCGAGATTCTATAATCTGCGAATTGAGCCGGTGTCCTCTCACGTACTCGCTTCCGCCAATACTGGACCCGCTTAGGTGTCTTCGCTTGCTTGCCATTCCACTCCTCAGATTGGATAAGTGCGATATTTCCTCAGTGTCTTCCGTTGAAGCCTTGAGTCCTCCAGCACCGACGATGCGAGCACCACTGCTGTTGCTCTGGATGCTGGCTAGGTGCCTCCATGTGCACGGTTCCCTATGGTAACTGTCTCATGTGTATTATCCACTGTAAGCCTCTCTGAGCATGTGTCTTCCTCCTTTTATACCCACAGGGTGGGGCGGAGTTACGCTATGCAAATTCCGCAGCCCCAAGGCATTTCATGCCATTGGCTCGTTGTTAAATACTCGAAGAGGATTGGCTTTCTATGCGAAACCCCCATTCTCCGTCACTTCTGACATAACGTCTCCGTTCCCTACTCAGGGAACGAGGGTTACATCCGTAACCGAGACGTTTTTTCTGCTTGGCATTACATCACATGCATGCTTCTTTCACATGTACAGCACTCTTTTGTCACATGTACATAGGACAATCAGAATTCTCCAACATTTGTCACAGGAGTCATTAGCAAGACTGGAAAAACAAGAACAAATGTAAACACGATCAACAAAGAACTTAGTAGTAGTAATCGTTTAACTAAACTTTAAAATGCATAACCCAGAAATGAAATATAATTTTGACAAAGGGAACATTAAGCCATAGATTAGATTATTAACTTTAGCTTTGATTGAAGTTAACTTGAAGTTGTTTAATGTATAATTTCATCTTTTACAAAAATTGTCAAGTGATTAAATCTGTATATGTTTAAAAAATAATTTAATGAACAGAAACCGCTCCCATGATAGCAACTTTTATGTTCTCACTCCAAAACATATTTGTTGATCTAAGAGCCTATTTTGATCTTTAGCCTATTTTCTCTCTTCATTGATGTTAGAAATAAAAGTCTTCCAAACCACAAAGTGCCTTTTTTCTCCATCCTTTCATTGAGCTGTCATCAATTAATAAAACAAGAAGAAAGATCAGCGGTGAGGAGATCAAGAGCTCTCAGCCCAATAGCCATGTGGTATGAAAATATATAGTCAACATTTGAGAGTATAACGACTCTAACCAATATAACCATACATCCCATCATATCATATCATCATGATATCATATCATATTTGTATAACAATTCTATAAATGGTCAGTATCCGGTAAGATCTCTGCTCTCTCCTGGAGATCCGAGAAGGCCCATCAATGTATAACCTCTTGACAAAAGAAGAGAAAAATAGGGGAGAGAGAAGACTCCATCCTCCAGATGTTCGACTTACATACATATGAAGGAATGTGCAAGCAAAGCAAAGCACAAAGCTCTTACTTTCTCTGGACAATAGCTGAGAGAGAAATACATTTCTGACAATTGAAGAACACCAATATAGGTTTGAATGGTTCTTTTTTATTATAGACCTATTCAACACATATTTTGAAGGTTTAATGTCAACATACAGTTGGAATACCTGTTCAGACAAGTTATCGGATGTCCTACCACAAACATTATTTGATAAGTGTCAGATTACATGATAGAAAAACAGGATAATAACCTTATTCAAGATACAGTACCTCAGTTTTATTTGTTACATCTTCACAAACGAACAGAACAAAAACAGATTTGAATGGTCCTACTTTTTTATTATAGACCTATTCAACAAAAATTTTGAACAGGTTCCCTGTTCAGACTAGTTATTAGATGGATACCAAAACTGTGATTACGTGATGATAAAACAGAATAAGCCAAATTTATACAAGCAGACTCAGTACCTCAGCTTTATTTTTTTTAAATCTTCACACTACTATATTGCTTATTTTTACTTTTCTTGTGTAAGGACTTTGCCAGGTGACTCAACCCTCCCCTCCGGAACTTAAACACACACACACACACACACACAAGCCCTTCCCTTCCCCCACACACGAGGGAGACCCCAGCACATCGGAATGTGCCTAATGTCTCTGAACAAAGAGAAATACGTCTCTTTTGTTTTAAAGACATTTAACAAAGGTATTCAATGGTTTTATGTATGTGTGTTCTCCCCCAGTGAAATAACTTTGTTTGGTCACAGCGTAAATAGAAATTAGAAATACCTTCTTTATTCATTTTAAACATAAGTGTATATTCCTTTAATGTAACATAATGTTCCTTGATATCTCCAGAATGCTTATTGAATGAAACACTCGAATATGCATGGAGATGTAAATTAAAGTGTATTTTTAATATGTTTTACCGCCAATGAAAATCAAACTGTTTTACTATTAACCTCCTTGAACACACCCCCTTCCACGAGGAGCGCGCGCTGAGGAACAAAGGACAATAAACCGAGAGTTCCCATTGTTTAAACGCCCCGCGTCGTCTTAGTTTGTGTTTTAATGTTTGTAAATACATGTATCATTGTAACATAGTGAACGCTTAAGTAGTTGCTTTATTAAATACAGTTATGCTCATTTCTGACTGAATCATTGTCTTGCTCATAATACTAGTCAATGAAATGTCGATCAAGAAGCTACACGCTTTACAGAACTAAACATACCTAAAAGGGTATTTGTTTATAGAGCAGGAAAGCTAATTCTTGTGGCCACAGAATTACTTTTCATAAACTCTATAACTTAATTGAGCTAATTGATTTTGCCTGTCTTGTAAAACGTGGTCCTTGTAGTTAATAACAATTAATTGGGTAAAATTAATAAGCCTCCCTAAATGGGATATTTATTAATA